TGCAGCAGCAGCAGCAGCAGCAGCAGCAGCAGCAGCAGCAGCAGCAGCAGCAGCAGCAGCAGCAGCAGCAGCAGCAGCAGGCCTTCGCTGCTTGCCCTGAGGTACATGGCTTCGACTCTTCTGTACCAATTCAAAAAGGCATTTATTTCTTCGGGCGGGCCCTCAGCCGGCTCGTCGTGCCCTATGGCAGCTGCAGCAAAGCAGCAGCAGCAGCAGCAGCAGCAGCAGCAGCAAACCAGAAGCAGCAGCAGCAGCAAAGCAGCAGCAGCAACAGCAGCACAAGTATGTGCGCGAACTCGCAACGAAACAGGGGCCCCAAGCAGCTGCTGCAGCTGTACCCAAAGAAGCAACTAAGACTTGGGGGCCCCCAAGGGGCCCCCGGGGACCTCCTGGGGGCCCCAGGGGGCCCCTGGGGGCCCCCCCAGGACCAGTAGGGTGCCCCAGAGGGCCCCATGGGGCCCCCAGGGGGCCCCCCGGGGGCCTCCGGGGGGCCCCCTGGGGGCCCCCCGGGGGCCCCAGGAAATGTCGAAGACTTACCGTTCTCCAGGCTGTCCATGCGCAGCAGCACCCTGCCCAGTTCGACTTAGTCTCTGCTGCAGCAGCAGCAGCAGCAGCAGCAGCAGCAGCAGCAGCAGAAGCAGCAGCAGCAGATGCGACACTGGGGAATCAAGGGCGAGGCGTTCCTAGTGCTGCTGCTTGCACAGGCCTTCACCCGCTCAGCTCTTCGAGCCCAGCCCCCACCCCACAGCAGCAGCAGCAGCAGCAGCAGCAGCAGCAGCAGCAGCAGCAGCAGCAGCAGCAGATCACCTGGGTGTTCGCGCGGGGAGAAGGGAGGCGTGGAGGCCTCGCTAGCTGCGCCTTCTTCTCCCGAAGGAGACAAAAAGGCAGCAGCAAGTTCTTGCTGCTGCTGCTCTCCGAGGGCACTGGAGAGGGGCCCCCTGCGGCTGCTGTCGCGTACCCGGGGGGCCCCCCTGGCATAAATGCGGCTGAGAGACATAACTGCGTATTCTAAGGAGCTGCCAACTCCGACAGTAGTGAAAACCACCAGCAGCAAAGTTGTGGCCACCACCAGGTCCTGCAGCAGCAGCAGCAGCAGCAGCAGCAGCAGCAGCAGGGCTCACGCGCTGTCGCAGCAGCAGCAGCCGCAGCAGCACCGGCAGCAGTGCCAGCGGTGGCAGCAGCAGCAGCACCGGCACCAGCGCCACTGAAGCCAGCAGCAGCAGCAGCAAAGCCACCACTGCCAGGCGCAGCAGCAGCAGCACAAGCCACCACCAACACCAGCAGCAGCAGCAGCAGCAGCAGCAGCAGCAGCAGCAGCAGCATCAGCCCCGCACCCCCATCATCACCATCAGCACCCCCACCCCCTCAGCAGCAGCATCCCCATCACCAGCATCCCCATCACCACCATCAGCAGCAGCAGCAGCAGCAGCAGCAGCAGCAGCAGCAGCAGCAGCAGCAGCAGCAGCAGCAGCGAGAGTGGGGAATGAAGTTGGAGGAAAAGGCAAAGGGGGAAAAGGACGGAAAGCAAAAAATAAAAAAGCAAATAAACAAAAGGTGAGAAAGAAAGATAAAAAGAAATGAAGAAATATAAAAAAGATTTAAAAATGTAAAAAAAGAAATAAAAAGATAAAAAGATAAAAGGATATTTAAAAAATAAAAAGAGACAAAAAGGGACAATTAAAGAAGGAGACAAAGAATAAAAAATAATAAAAATAAAAATAAAATAAAAATAAAATAAAAATAATAAAGAAATAGAAAACATAAGAGCGGAAAAAAGAATCAAAAGGAGACAAAACAAAAACAACAAAGGCAAATAAAATGAAATAAAAAGCAAAACAAAATAAAACAAAACAAACAAAACAAACAAATAAAACGAAATAAAATAAAAAGCAAACAAATAAATAAATAAAAAACAAACAAAAGAAAAAAATAAAACAAAAGAAAAAAATAAACTAAAAAGCAAACAAAAGAGATAAAATAAGTAAACAACACACAAAGAAATAAACAAAATAAAACGAACAAACACATAAATAAAACAAATAAATAAATAAAATAAACAAACGAAGAAATAAATAAAACAAAATAAATAAAATAAAATAAAACAAAAAAGAAATAAAAAAGAAACCCACTTGTTGGCTAAAAGGGAAAAAGGAAAAACAAAAGCAGCTCTCGCCAAAGAAGTAAAAACAAAACAAATAAATAAAACAAACAAATAAATAAAATAAACAAATAAATAAAATAAAACAATAAATAAAATAAATAAAATAAAATAAATAAATAAATAAAATAAAAACTAACTTGTTGGCCAAGAGGGAAAAAGGAAAAGCAAAAGCAGCTCTTGCCAAAGAAGTAAAAACGAAAGAAATAAATAAATAAAACAAATAAATAAATAAACAAATAAATAAAATAAACAAACAAATAAATAAAACAAATAAATAAATAAAATAAATAAATAAATAAAATAAAAAACTAACTTGTTGGCCAAAAGAGAAAAAGGAAAGACAAAAGCAGCTCTCGCCAAAGAAGTAAAAACAAATGAAAGGAATAAATAAAATAAAACAAACAAATAAATAAAATAAACAAATAAATAAAACAAACAAATAAATAAATAAACAAAATAAATAAAATAAAATAAAACAAATAAATAAATAAAATAAAAACTAACTTGTTGGCCAAAAGAGAAAAAGGAAAGACAAAAGCAGCTCTTGCCAAAGAAGTAAAAACAAATCCGAAAAACGCAAAAGACAAACTCCAGGAACGCTGGCCTGTACGTACACCCCGCACCCATGAACTGCTGCTGCTGCTGCTGCTGCTGCTGTGCTGCTGCTGCTGCTGCTGCTGTGCTGCTGCTCCTGCTGGTGTGCTGCTGCTATTGCTGCTGCTGCTGTGCTGCTGCTGCTGCTGCTGTGCTGCTGCTGCTGCTGCTGGGAATTTAGAGAGACAAGGAGAGGGTGAGGGGAGATTAAAGGAGGAGACAAAAGGAGGTAAAAAAAGATAAAATGAAACAAAGAGAAACAAAAAGGAGACCAAAAAGAATCAAAAAAAGACAAAAGAGAGACAAAAAAAAGGAGAAGACAACGAGACAAAACAGACACAAAAAGGAGACAAAAAAGAGACAAAAAGGAGACAAAAAAGAGACAAAAAAGAAACAAAAAGGGACGAAAAAGAGACAAAAAAGAGACACATAATCCCGCAAAAAGAGCGCAAAAAGAGCCCCAAAGGAGCCCAAAAAGCGCCGAAAAAAGCCAAAAAAAGTCAAAAAAAAGCGAAACAAAAAGGAAACAAAAAGGAACCAAAAAGGAAACAAAAAGGAGACAAAAAGTAGCCAAAAAAGAGCCAAAAAGGAGCGAAAAAGAGCCAAAAAGGAGCGAAAAAGGGCGAAAAAGAGAAGTCGGACCGAATCCGAGGACCGCGACGACCCCCAAGTAGGCGAAGGCGCACTTGTCGCAGAGCAAGGCGATGGTCTGGACGAAGAGGCGAATGGAGAGGCGCGACTGCAGCGACAAGTTGTGGCTGCAGCAGCAGCACCAGCAGCAGCAGCAGCAGCAGCAGCAGCAGCAGCAGCAGCAGCAGCAGCAGCAGCGGCGGGTGGGGCCAGCGGCAGGCGCGACAGGAAGGCTTCAAACAGATTCGGAAAGAATTCAAAAAGAATTCAAAAAGAATTGAAAAGGAATTCAAAAAGAATTCAAAAAGAATTAAAAAAGGAGAAGACGGAAATAAAGAAATGAAGAATTAAGTGGCAATTAAAAAACAATAAAAAAGCAATTAAAAAGCAATTAAAAAGCAATTAAAAAGGAATTAAAAGGGAATTAAAAAGAAATTAAAAGGGAATTGTAAGGGAATTAAAAAAGAATTAAAATGGAATTAAAAAGGATTTAAAATGGAATTAAAAAAGAAATAAAATGGAATTAAAAGGAGAAAAAAAGGAAAAGATTTACGTGTTGAAATGGCACAACATGGCCCCGCATGCAAAGAGCGTAACTAGAAAATGTAGAAGATAAAACGGCGAAAAAGAAGCATCAGAAGGTCGGGAAAAAGAGAAAAAGAAGAATAAAAAGAAATAAATAATAAAAAGAAATCAAAAATGAATTAAAAGAAGAAAAAATGAGAAAAAAAGACGAAAAAAGAAGAGATTTACGTGTTGAAATGGCACAACATGGCCCCGCATGCAAAGAAGATAAAAAGGCGAAAAAGAGACATCAGAAGGTCGGAAAAAAAGGGAAAAAGAAGAAAAAAAAGAAATAAATAAATAAAAATGAATTAAAAGTGATTTAAAAATGAATTAAAAGGAGAAAAAAGGAGAAAAAAAGACGAAAAAAGAAAAGATTTACGTGTTGAAATGGCACAACATGGCCCTGCATGCTAGAAAATGTAGAAAACGGCGAAAAAGAGGCATCAGAAGGTCGGAAAAAAGGGAAAAAGAAGAATAAAAAGAAATAAATAATTAAAAGTGATTTAAAAATGATTTAAAAATGATTTAAAAGGAGAAAAAAGGAGAAAAAAAGACGAAAAAAGAAAAGATTTACGTGTTGAAATGGCACAACATGGCCCCGCATGCAAAGAGCGAAACGACTCCGCTGAGGGCCAAAACTTCGGCAGCCCCGAAAGCCATATAAGCCGTCAGCAGCGTAACAGCAACTTCGTACTGCGGCAGCCTGCAGCAGCAGCAGCAGCAGCAGCAGCAGCAGCAGCAGCAGCAGCAGCAGCAGCAGGGGGGGGGGGCAGCGGGTGGGGGAGGCGGGCAGGCAGCACGCGCTGCTGCAGCAGCGGCAGCAGATAATGCAGCAGCAAGAGCGACAGAAGCAGCAGACGCAGCAGCAAAGGCAGAAGCAAAAACAGCAGCAGCAGCAGCAGCAGCAGCAGCAGCAGCGGGAGGGCTGTTGCTTCTTCCCGCTGCCTGCTGCTGTGAGCAGCAGCAGCATTCGGTGCCCCTAGGAAGCACCAAGCCTCCCTGCTAGAGCTAGCTAGCTAGCCAGTTAGCTAGCTAGCCAGTTAGCTAGCTAGCCAGGTAACTAGCTAGCTAGCCAGCCAGTTAGCTAGCTAAAAGGTAGCTAGCTAGCTAGCTAACTGACTAGCTAGCTAATTGGCTAGCTAGCTAATTGGCTAGCTAGCTAATTGGCTAGCTAGCTAGCTAGCGCTGCCACTGCTGCTGCTGCCACTGCTGCTGCTGCCACTGCCACTGCTGCTGCTGCTGCTGCTGCTGCTGCTGCTGCTGCTGCTGCCTCACTTTCTGAGTTTGGAGTGTTTGAAACTCCAGCAGCAAAGGGCCCCCACAGACACTCCGAAGAAAAGACTTCCGGCGAGGACCAGCAGAAAGTCAAACACGATCTGTACGTACACCCCAGAGCAGCAGCAGCACAACACGCCAACTCACTCCGCTGCTGCTGCTGCTGCTGCTGCTGCTGCTGCTGCTGCAGTTGGGGTTCCCGCTGCTGCTGTTTCTGCCGTCCCTGTTTGCGCTTCTGCCTGCGCAGCTCTTTCTGCAGCTCTCGCCGCAGCAGCAGCAGCAGCAGCTGCTGCTGCTGCTGCACCCCCTGCTGCTGCTGCTGCTGCTGCTGCTGCTGCTGCTGCTGCTGCTGCTGCTGCTGCTCACGTCGGAGACTCCGGCGTTAAGGACCACTTCTTTTTGGTCAGTGAAGAAGAACTTGAAGACAGATCTCGTCAAAGCAATTGCAACAGCATCATTTAAAATGCTTTCTCCCATCAAGATGGAGACCAAGCTGCTGTTCACCAGGCTGCTGCTGCTGCTGCTGCTGCTGCTGCTGCTGCTGCGCTGCTGCTCCCCGCACAGCGCCTCCTCCTCCGCTGCTGCTGCTGCTGCTGCTGCTGAGGGGGAGCGCGCTTCTGCTGCTGCAGCAGACACGCCTGGGGGGCCCCCTGCAGCGGCGGCCAATTCGCCGGCCACAGAGCCGCCCTCGAGGGGGCCCCCCGCCTCCCCGCTGCTGCTGCTGCTGCTGCTGCTGCTGCTGCTGCTGCTGCTGCTGCTGCTGGCTGCGTCTGCGAATCCCTGGGCAAGCGAAGTGCGGGGGAGTCTCCTGCTGGCCCGCATCTCCGCAGGGCCTTCACTGCCCCCCGCTGCTGCCGTGGCCCCCGCTGCTGCTGCCGCAGCAGCAGCAGGAGCAGCAGCAGCAGCAGCAGCAGCAGCTCCCTCGCTGGCGTGCCTGGCCCTCCTCTGGTAGGGCCCCACAGTTGCATGCGTTTGTTCCTCCTTGCGCCGGGGGCCCCCGGGGCCCCCGGGGCCCCCGGGGGCCCCTCCTTGGTCGGCGGGTGGTTGCCCGGGGGCCCCCGGGGGCCCCCCGGGGGCCCCCCGGGGCCCCCCGGGGGCCCCCCGGGGCCCCCCGGGGGCCCCCGGGGGCCCCCGAGAACGGGGATTTCGGGGAGTTGGAGCTTTTGGAGAAGACAGGAGAGGCAGCAGACGAGGAGAAGAGGACTTGAGAGAAAATCGGGGAGAATGGAAAAGACTGGCGACAGCGACGGTGTCAGTGGCGGACATGAGGGCCGCGAAGGCCCAGAGAAAGGCCCGGACCTTGTGGGGGGGCCCCCCCAGCCCGAGGGGCCCCAGGTGGCTGTGGACTGCGCTGAGGCCCCCGTAAGTGGCCAGGGTACTAAATAAGGTCCCTAAAATGGCAAACAACAAAATCGGAATGAAGTTCTGCAACAAGTCCAGCTGCCAGATGCTCAGCCCCGCGTCCAGCACTATTGGCGGCAGCAGCACCAGGTAAAAGAACTGCGGGTCAAAAGCCAGTTCCGAGAGGGCCCCGGGGGCCCCCGGGGGCCCCCCGGGGGCCCCGGGGGCCCCTGGGGCCCCCCCGGGGGCCCCCCCGGGGGCCCCCCCCCCGCCCGCGGGGCCCCCCGCGGGGGCCC